TCAGCAAAAAGGACATAGTCAACCTTTTAGGATATGTTATTGTAATTTAGAAGCTCAATTTGTACGGCAAATAATGAAGACCCCAACAATGCCGATTTAGTGTTTCAAGCTCACTAAGCATCTTCTGAGTCGACCTTGTAGGGGTCTTTATTTACTTGTACAAATTGAACTTCTAAACTACAATAACATCTCCTGAAAGAGTGAGTATGCACTTTTCACTGACTTTTAAGTGAGTTTGAACCATTAGATTGATCTTCAGAGACCATTTGTGAAGAAATACTCTGACGAGAATTAAACATTAAACATTATAATGTAATAAAAAGTGTCACCTAAAAGGGTGAGTACGCCCTTCTCGTAGACTTTTAAGTAAGTTAGAACCACTAGATCGACCTAAAAAGATATGTGAAATTAGGTTTGATGAAAATGTCAGACGCCATTTGTTATAATGTTTAATGTTTAATTCTTTTCGCTAACTTTTAAGTGATTTTCTTTTAGGTCGATCTAGTGGTTCAAGTTTACTTAAAATTCGGTGCAAGGGCGTACTCACCCTTTTAGGTGTCACTTTTAATTATAATGTTTAATGTTTAATTCTTAGTAGAGTATTTCTTCACAAATGGCTTCCAAAGGTCAATATAGTTGTTCAAAATCACCTAAAAGTCGGTAAAAAGGGTGTACTCACCATTTCAAGAGATGTTATTGTTGCTTAGAAACTCGACTTGTACTACATGTAAATGAATACCCTTACAAGGTCGATCTAGTAAATGTTTAGTGAGTTTAAACCACTAAATCGACCTTGTAGGGGTCTACGTTTATTTGTTGTACAAATCGAGCTTCTAAATTACAATAACATTTCTTGAAATGGTGACTATACCATTTTCACTGACTTGTAAACCACAATAATTTTTTTGTATAAATCGAGCTTGTAAACCACAATAGTTTTTTTTGTATAAATCAAGCTTCTAAACCAGAATAATATTTTCTAAATCGGTCAATTGGTTGACATTGTAACAAAATTGTAAACATAATTGAGAAAAAAAAACTTAGTGTCAAAATCAAAATTTTGTGGTAATATAATGACTTTTGTGCAATTGGAAACTCGGTGATAAAATCCAAATTTTGGTAAACTTAGTAACTTTATTGCAATTCAAGAAAAATGGTTACCGGAAGAACATGGATCACCGATCAGTTGGTTGATATTGCAACAAAATTGTAAGTATAGTGACATAATTGAGAAAAAAAAATAATCTGGTGTCAAAATAAAAATTTTGTGGTAATATAATGATTTTTTTAGCTATTTTCCCTATTTCATATGTTCAAATTTTGATAATACAAATATTGGAAATGGTCTCTAAACCTAGACATGTTTTGAAAAATTATCCGGACAACTATTTGCTAAGATGACGTACAAGTGTATTGTGACAACCGTAAATTTCCGATCAAGTCAAAGTCAACCGGTCAAATCGGTCAACTCATCTAACCCTTGTATATTAGGGCTTACACTATGTACTATTGTGCAACTTACTATTTTAATAAGAAGTTATCACTTGGAAAGTTCATTCGTTCAGAAATTTCAAACCCTAATCAGGGTAAGTGATGAAACTATTCGATAAAACGTTATTTCATATCCCTCGGGGTATCAAGGCTGATTTTTAAGTTCTTCATCTACTTTTGGTAAGTAAAATCATCCTTCATATGATTATTCCACCTCTTTCTAATCCAATCATAAGCTTCTTACACAAACTTCATCATATTTATGTTAGAACTTCGAATCTTCAAGCAATCTTCTAAGTGTTCTTGAGGTGAACACTTCCGTTCTTCAACATCCGTCCACTGAAATCACTCAAGGTGAGTTCCTACCCCTACATTTTCATGTTTTCTTCAAGTTTTAGGGGGAGAATACAAGTTAAATCACCAACAACATAACTAAACTCAAACAACAGCTTCAACAGAAAACTTAATGTTCATTCACGAACTGTTTTGAACACCTTAAACTTTTTAGTTTTCAAAACTGTACTAGGTTCAAATAGTTCAGGTTTATACCTTTAAAATGACAACTTGCACACATCCATACGATTTTTCTAAAATTTATGGTGATTTTTACAAAACTGTCTATCACTGTAGCTACGAATTTGGACTAGTCTGCGAATATGAACATTTTTACACCAGTTAAGGACTTCTAAAAATCATAATAAAAATTGTGAATAAACTAGACACATTTTCTAATCTCTCAGAGTTTACGGATCTAGTTTTTGATCTCGTGTGAATTTTCTGTGATTTTTCTAAATCAGTGCAGAAATGGTAAAAACAAGTTCACAGATTTCATCTTTATTAACACTTTGTAACTTGTTAAGCAAAGTGCCAAACCTTGATGTTTCCATATTTTGCATGATTTTTCTGTTTGGATGCATTTATATTACAGAAAAATGTTCACTAAATTGTAAGAGTTCTTTATCATTACAATTAATGCATCATGAAGCATGGAAAACATAGAATCGTTTTGCTATATATATTCTACTTACATAGAAAGTGAATGCTACACACTACAAACATTTGGATAAACCATAATAGGTATAGTTTATGTTACATATACAATACAAATACAAAAGAATACATTACTACAAAAGGGGTTTTCATTAATATTCCGACGCCTGAAGAACGTCGTATATAAGGCGAACTAAGTCATAGTATGGTTATAATAACTCACATGAGATACTAACAAACAGAAAATTTATGGGAATTCCATTTAAACTAACAAGTTTATGCCGATTTAAACTTGCATGATTCAAAAATTAAATGGAAAAATATTAGCATACTATTAGTCTTGGCATTTTAGATTACAATACATTTTAGAGAGAAAATATGAGATTTTCTGGAACAAACACTACTTTTACAAGAAAGAATTTCAAGCTCTCATTCTAAAAGCTTATGAACTCACCAACTTAATTGTTGACACTTTTTCAAAACTACTTGTATTTTCAGGGAATCCGTAAAACAGGTAAATAGCGGCTTTTGAGGATGGAACACTAAGGCGTCAAACATTGTATTTTTGTTAACATAATGTAATTGATTTAGAAACATGTAAACATATACTATGATGTAACTTTTTCAATTATATTTATATTGGTTGTTTGTACTTTGAACACTATTATACTTGTTGTTATGATACTACACATAAAGTCCTCCACCCCCAGACGTTTCCGTCATCCTTGATTTTGGGGGTGCGACATGTATATTTGATACTAATATGACGGGGATTTTCTTCGGGTTTGAAGAAAAAACTCAAATCATGTAAAAAAAAAAGGTAATAAAAAAAAGGTCATCCTTGTTGGATCATTAAGGATGAAGACAAATTTTTATTTGTGGTTATGATGTCATTGTCATGTAACTATGTAAGAGCAATCATAATGGGGCTTAAATCAAATTGAATGTCAAACCATCAGAAAATTCAAAGTTGGCATATAATAAATTTGAAGATGAGTGAGTATGATTTAACATCCAAAGTTTTGTTTGTAGTTGGAATTTATACCTTTAATTACTTTAATTATATATGATGTTTGGTTAAAGATAGTTAGAAGTATTTAAAATATATAAAATTACATGACATCTTTTAAAATTATAAAATAGAAACATATTCAAAACAGTAATTAATTCAATTTGCAAAAAAAATATAAGAGTTTTTTTGTTAAATATTTAAATAGCATTCGGATTTGGTATTTTTTTTGTTTAAGCTAAAGGTTTATTTGGCAACCAACTTCTAAAAACTTCTAAATTTTAGCTTTCAAAGAAAAAAAATCTTTTGCTATCAAGCTTTTCACTTTTATCCTACACAAAAAACTTAATATCTAAAAGTTAATTCAAATAAGGTTTAATAAAAAAAAAAATTCTAACCACTACATTGTTTTTAAGAAAGTTGTAGTTGTATTTTATATTTTATAAAGATGTCTATTTTATGTAAATTTATTTGTTTCAAAAACTCTTTTAAATCTTACTAGGTTTTTATGTCACATGTCATCATCTAATTCAATATGTCACATGATATTTTTTTTATTTTTTTCAATTTTATTTAAATCCACTTGGCAAATTATGTTTTTTTTTTTGGCTTTGTTATTAATTTATAAAAAAATTTAATCTAAATATATAATAAAAAAAATAAGGAAACTTTTAAACGTCTATATAAATTCTCCCATACTATATCAATTAATTTATTAAAATCAATTTAAATTCAAATCTATTTTTTAAATTGAAAAACATAATTTTCGATAAATCCTTTTTGATTCACGATAATTTGCAGAAACCTTGCAGAATTTGGTTCATTCATCACTAATACTTATATTTTTTTCAAATTTAGTTTTGTAAATTATTAAACATATAATACTTAATAAAATAGATTAATTATTTTTAAATAAAACTCTTATATTACACAAATCTCGCACTTAATACCCATATACAAACAAAAGTTACGACTTCCACCAAATTTGGAAGTTCTTAACCACAAAAAAAAAAAAAAAAAAAAAAAAAAAAAAAAAGTTAAAATTTTTCTTAAAAACTAAAAGCTCTCCCAAAAAATATGTATCAAACGACCATTAAAAGCTCAGATTCTTAATTCCTTTTTTTACAAAATTATATTTCATTTAACTTTACAGAGAAGTTAATACGAAAAAATAAATGATTAATGACATCAACTATTTGGACCATCGCCTCTTTGTGTATCCAAATACCACTTCTCTAATTTTCATTTCATTTGACACAAAATTACAATTATAGAAGTTAAAAAGAAAATAAACCAAACATGTACTCTACACTTAATTCCAATTCATATAATCACTTTTGAAAATGGCATTTAACTTTGAAGGATAACAACATAACACATGCAAATATCAAAAAAAAAAAAAAAAAAAAAAAAAAAAAAAAAAAAAACCACAATTCATGATACTTTTGGATATGTTCAAATGATTCCCAAACTTCCTCAATTGAAATAGCCATTGATAGTATAGTGACTTTTATTCTTTTAAAAACCTACATTCAGTTTTCACCCTTCAGATACAATACAAAAGATCCCAAATCAACACACAGAATCCATAAAAACTCAAAGATAAAGTCATTGTTGAGTCAAAGTTGTAACAATTTTACTAGTGAACACAGTATTAAGAAATTTACTGTGCACGAAGAACTTCAATCTCAAAAACCAAAGTTGAGTTAGGCTGAATGCCCCATGCAGGAAATCCACCAGCACCATAAGCATAATCAGGTGAACACTGAAATCATCAAATCAAAATGATCAAATTATTCTCTTTGTTGTAATAATTAATAAATCAAAAATGTGATTTTTGCAACAAAAAAAAAAAGAATATATGAAATGTGTATGTGGTACCCTTAGCCTAGCAACTTCTCCCAATTGCATTCCCAAAACACCTTCATCCCAACCTGCAAATGTAAAAAGCAATTCAATTCAATACATAAATAAAAAGTGTAGATTACTTGTGGATTATGTGAGATTTATAAGAATTACAACTTTTATATGATATCAAAAAGAAGATATACTTTGAAGTGTTTGTTTTATCCCTAAAATAACCCCAAAACTAGAAGCAAAAAGAACTTTTGATGATTATGAATTTAAGTTTCGGCCTTAAATTACCTTTAATAACTTGGCCTTGACCAATTTTGAAGGTGAATGGCTCCTGCCCTGGATCTTTTGTGCTAAAATTACCAAGAACAAATCGTTAAACACAACTAAATCAAGAACAATTACAGAATAATATGGATACAAACAGTTCTAACCTCCAGAATTTCTGAGAAAGATCGCCGTTTTTCCCTGAAAACCACCATTAAAAAATTGAAAATTCAACGAAATCGGAATCAACCAGAATGTACATAAACAAACTTGTAAACGAAATAAAATTAGGCATATGAGCAGCTCCTTTACATCAGTTTAAACATATAAACATAAACATTTAGTAGTAATTTATGTTATAATTTGAGAACGACCGCGGATTTTTTCAAAACCTAAAATTGACAAACGTAGAAATACAATACTCGACAACTAGAGAAAATTTCGAGACAGATCTACAGCTTTCCTGATCCAACGAACGATAGTTAAAGTTCACAAGATCGTAACGAGTATGAAAAATACAAAATCGACAACCAGATAGATTGTTTGTGTGAGCGTGAATTAGGGTTTTACAGTTGGTGAAGATGGAGAGATCGGAGTATACCGAATCCAGTACAGTGAACGGTGACATTTTGGCCGGGGGAGGGCTTCGGACCGTTTCCAGGTCGGACTACTTCCTTCTCCACTCCCATTTTCGGATCTCTTTTGCTTTGTGTTTTGAGGGTTTTATTGTCTTCTCGCGAGTGACAATAGATGACTGGGAGGCTATTTAAGGGGGACGTTTGGTTGATTGGTTTATGGATTTTTGAAAAGTTACACCCCTTCTCGTTCAACTTAGAAAGTAAATTGATGGAAATGAGAGAAAAGTAAAATAGATTAATGTTCCTCAGTTTCCAGTTCCCAACTTCAATTTAACGAGAGAAAGGAAAGGAAACGGGTGGAAATGAGAAGAAAATGAAAGAAATTGGTATTCTCAAGTTTCATTAAAGGAAGGAAATGGAGAGAAATAAAAGAATCACTTTTCTTCCTATCTTTCCTTCCGATTAGGGAGGATTTGGAAGGAAAGAAGAAAATGATTAATTTTCCTTTCATTTCTTTCCAACTCGGGAACACAAAAGAAAATTTTGTTTTTCTTTCCTTTCTCTTCTTTTCTCTCATGACTTTTTTTTTCTCTTTTTTTCTTTTCTTTTGATAAACTTGGGAACGGGGTGTAAAGGAAGGAAGTGAAAGTAAATGGAAGGAAATGAAATAATCACTTTCCCTCCTAACTTTCCTTCCGATTTGGGATGATTTGAAAAAAATAATAAAATGTTTAACTTTCCTTCCATTTCTCTCCGATTCGGAAGCACAAAAGACAAATATGTTTTCCTTTCTTTTCTCTTCTTTTCTCTCCTTACTTTTTTTTTTCTCTCCTTAATAAAGTCAATTTTGGCAAACTTAAAAGCTACCAAACATATTTTAAAAAACTCATTTTAAGTCAATAAACAATTTTATTTAAAAACACTTTGAGAGTTCAAAAATCCACCCCATAAATAGTAGATAGTACATAAAAACACTTTGAGAGTTCAAAAACCACTACCAAACACCCCATAAATAGTAAATAGTATATATGGATGGTAGTGAAAAAAAAAAGACAAATTACTGAAATTATCCCTAAGGTTTGGTAAAAGTTCACTAACTTTTTTTTACACCCGGACCGTCATCATAGTTTGATTTTGATGCGTTTTTCGTCCCTTCCCAACATGAAAAGACTTTATTGCCCTTTGTATTTTCTTTTTTAGTTTTTATTATTATTTGTTTGTTATTTATTAATTAAAGAAAATCAATTAGATGATTTACAGACATATATGAACCATTCATACTCTCACTTACAACACAACCACCACCGATTACCAACAACCACCACCGGCCACCGACAACCACCATTGGCCGATTCTAACATCACCACTATCCATATATTCCATCTCCACTACAAACCATATTTTCAATTCATCAAGTCACACCCAAGATTAAATCTCATATATCAAACCAGAACACAAAAATCATAACCATACCAAGTTTAAATTCCGAAATCAAAAGCCTAACCAAAGTCAAATCATAAAATCTCGAAATCAGAAGCTAGCTGAAATCAAAACCAGACCTGGAAATCAAAGCCCAAAACGCAAATATGATGGTAGTGGTCGGAGGTTTTTGGCAAAAATGATGGTGGTCGGGATTTCGGTAAAGGAGATGCTACGGTTGAAGCTGAGCAGAAGGTCACTGCTACGTGAACTACCCGATGACATGAAGCAACTCCAACGTCTTTAGATTTGTTTCTAAATACGTCTCCTTCCCCACTGTCTTCAAATCTATTTCATTCAGGCAGATCCACCTCCAGAGAAGACGAAGTTGATGAAGGTAGAGAGAGAAGCAGCGACGTAGAGAAAAATCAATGGAGTAGAGGGAAATAAAGAGGAGGCTGACGGAGTATAGAAAAATCGACATGCAACCCTTTACAAAACCGACGATGGCGGTGGTGGTAATTTTCGGCGAGAGAGATGAAGCAGAGAGAAATGGCAAGACGGGAGAAGCGACATAAGAGGAGTAAATAACGATCCATGAGTTTTCAATGGGTTCTGGAGGTGTTTATGGTGGCTTTGGCGATGGTGAGCTGAGCACCAGTTTCTTCAACTAAGATGAAAATGAGAGATAATGTGAGAGAGGAGAGGTGAGATGGGTGGGGTACGGGTTGAAGGTGGGACCTATGTATATACTTTTTTTATAATCAATAGATAATAATAAAAACTGAAAAAGAAAATAAAATGGTAATATAGTCTTTTTGTTTTTACAGGGACTAAAAACACAACAAAATAATATGTTAAAGACGGTTCGAGTGCGAAAAAAAGTTAGTGACCAAACTCATAATTTTTAACAAACCATAAGAACGATTTCAGTAATTTGTTTTTTTTTTTTTTTAAGTTTTACTATATATCGATTTGCAACGTCGTGATTTTATTTGACAATTTAACCTTTTTTTAGTCCTAATTCTACGGGTCGTTGTATTTTTTTATTCTTAATTCTACTTTTAACTTTGTGGTATATCATTTCGAAACTTTTAATTTTCTAAATTTTTGTGTTCATTCATGTAGTATTTATAATATGCTTTTTTTTTAACAATATTTATTCGTTAACTTATAATATAGCATTTTTATGTGATTTTTTCTATCTGTGCTTTGTTATTCAAGGCAGTCAACATTTTGACGTAAGTTTAGAACTTTCGTTATTTAGTTTTTGGTAAATTACTATGATATCCACATTTTCACGGCCAGAAAAGACCGATTTTGTTTATATTCTATAAAAATCAGAGTACCTCTTTTAATAAAAATATTACAGAATTTGTTCCCAGTAAAACATGATAAATACGTTATCAAAGCACTTCCGAAGAAAAGTATTTTTATTCATTTTAAAACATTTTGGATGTCATCGTTAATACAGAAACATAAGCATAAACAGAACTTACATTCATTATCACTAATGATTTATATTTTTCTTAATCTTTCAGTGTAATGTGACTTCATATCAACACATGTGATATAAATAAACTGAGTGGGTTAGGTTGGGAAACCCCGTGAGTACATAGGGTTTTCAACCCACAATAAATAAGTTTATTAACTTTATCATACCAAATAAACCCGATTACCCGTTCCCGTTATCCTCACTTTACATCCCTAAAACATCTAACACAAGGAACCTAATCTAAGGACTTTCATCAGTGTGACAACACATGCTTCGGGGGTTCCTTAGCAATTCATGTCAAATAAGGCAAACATGTGGGGGATTGAGTACTGCTGGTGAGCACACAGTTCAAAAAAAAAACACCTACAGGTTGCGAGCCTGCTAGCGTTCCATTGGACTGTCTAGAATAGTTCATGGTCGTCATCTATACTCCGCTAGATGACTGGATCACCAATAACATCTATATCAAGGCCTCTCATTATTTTATTTGGTCACACAATAACTATTGCATCTATCCATGTTTTACCAAACACATTTTGTAAATATAAAATACATATACAGTTTAACTCATTTAAAACAAAAAATATTCCACCCAGCATAGACAACAAGTATTTAAACAATATGCACACATAGCACATAATTTATATTAAATACTTCATACCTATGTGTAAGATGAAAGGGACCAGGCACTCACTTGGTAAGGTGGTGATTCCGAACTCAGACAACGCTTCGTTTCTTAAAAAAATAATTTCCTTTGACGAAACCTACTATTATTACCATTAGAGTTTAGTCTATTATTCGCCGAGACTAATTAAAAGTTTAGTTATTATTACTATTATATAGGCGTTAAACAATACTTATATAACTCATAATAATAGCCCAAATACTTATTATAAGTTCCTAATAACGTTACTATAATTGAATAAAAGCTATATTAAAAATAGTGTAGGTGTAGCTCACTTACAGCTGATTTTATAGAAAACCGGGCTTTGCTTGGAGCAGCGTTCCTGAGCCGAAAAGCTCTTCTTCTCTGAGCCGTCGAGCACTCCGGGGCTTACACCTCGTGCTAGGGACGTTCTTTTTTTGTATGTTCTCGGTTTAACGTATACTCCAACTTTTGTTTATATTTATAAGGCTAAAAATTCATTCATCGTAAATTCACTATTTACGTCTCCCGGTGTCGTGTTGGTTTTGTCGTAAAACTTGGACGGATCATAACTTCTTCATTATAACTCGGATTTCAACGTTCTTTACATGTACGAAACCCATGAGACGTACTCTACAAATTGGTTAAGATTATTTAGTCTAAATAATATTTTCTCAAAATTTCATTTTCGACCTATATTATTTCTAAATTGATTAGCCCGAATCTATAGGCATTACAATTATATCATTCGTCTCTCGTGTATGTGTCAAAACGAACGTTTCGTTCCTATTTTCAAAAATTAACTCGGACCGTCACTGGATTTGTTTTTTCTTGAAGGTATTGTCCCTATGAACATGAAATAACTATTTTACTCTTAATAATTTCTTATTTTTTTAAATTTCTTTATCAGTTTAAATTAAAAAATAAATAAAACAAATAAAACAAATATCCCCACCCCTCCCATAGACACCATATTCTTTATCAGTTTAACCAACATTGCCGCATACAACATCAACACTGCATTCAACCACAAGTATTGCCGGAAACCATCATCACCCTCTTTATATCACCCTTAAATCCCCTTACGCCACTTCCCTTCTCCATTGTTATCAACTCTTTCATAAACCTACATTACTTAACCAAACCACCATATCCACCTTATACAACCTGCTACCACCTTCTATCACCATCTCTATCTCTGATGACACCATACAGGTAATGATGGAGGTCGAGATCGATCCACATATCTATCAGAAATCAATCTAAACATATTTTAAAAATCATCTATCTCAAAACCCTAGCTGATGGAGATCGATGGCAACGTATGGGTGAAGAAAGAGATCGAAGGCTTCAGGCGGTTTGAAATCCTAACTGGCATTGGTGATGATATTCGTGAAACCTTATATTCTTGGAGGTAGAGGAGGTCGGAGACGAATCTGCACTCCAACAACCACCCAAAACCCTAGCCGTCGTAGGCTTTCCTCTTCAATTCCTCATTGATGCTCCTCCTCATTCTTCTTTCTTTGGAAAACACACCTACTCCTTTCTCCTTCTCATGCTCTCACTTTTCCAATCATCATTAACGCACCACCGATTTACACCCTGACAATCGCCCAAAACCACCGACGATTTGTAGGTATCCTCTTTCCCTCTCATCAACTATATGTGTGTGTGTGTTTTATGTTTCTTGTTTTCTCGATCTGTAACTCAGTGAAAGAGATGAAGAAGGTTTATCGGAGGGTAGTCGGTGACAGTATGTATGTGTGTGTATCTCTCCGTGGTTGAGTTAGCGTGGAAGGTGTTGTAAGACTGCATGATAGCCGTAGCATTCACCAGGGGCCAGATAGCGTGGGGAATGTGGCAAGACTGTGGGGTGACCCGTAGCCCTAGTTAGCAGGTAGTGTAGAAGTGTTGTAAAATTGCGGTGTGGCCCGTAGAATTCAC